ATTTTAGTTTTTCTTTTCTTTTATTTTTTCTTTTATATTCTGATTTTATTTTATTTTATTTTACTGATTTATTTATTTATTTTTATTTTTTCTTTTATATTCTGATTTTATTTTTTCTTTTTTATTATTCGACTATATAATTTTAATAATGTATATTTGTCAATTTTATTATAGGAAATTTTTTTTTAAAATAATTTTATAACATATAATAAATAAAATTAATTATATATATTGAACGTATTCCTTACGTGTCGGGTCCCCTATTTTTTGAAAATTCGCGTTTTTGCTTGTCTGTGTCGTGTCGCGTGTCGCGTGTCCGTGTCCGTGCTGCATAGACTACACAATTCGCGAATCCTGCCATAGGAAGGAAGATTTGAATGGGGAGTTGAATTTGATGCTGTTTTTTTTGTAATACAAAATGAAATGACCTATCCATTACATTTCCTTGCGCAATGACAAATGTGTTACTACTGGATTTGATCACCCCATACAAAAGAAAGGTAGCTGAGTTTGGAACCATTCTTAACAGAAGCTTTGTCTTCTCAACATCATCCACTGTGCAATTAGTCCATCCATCGGGAAAGTAGCAGAAATTGCGTGGCACATTTATTGCAGCATTATTGAGCCACCTGCGCAAGTGTAAAAGATGTTAAAAACTGCACAAATTTTACACCAATACCATTTCCAACTTTATTTCAAATATAATACTATCATAATTTAGTACCTATGAAGCACGGACACCTCTCCGAGGGCTCCGTACCAGTGTCAGACACATGTCGGACATGGACACGCGTCGGACACGCGGTGGACACGTGTCCAACACGCACCAGAGCGTATCCCATTTTATTTTTATTTATTTTTTAATCGGAACACGTTCAGGACACGTTATAGACACTTTCGGGACACGTTCGGGGGTAATTTAAGAATTTACAAAAACTTTTGGGGTCGATTTGTAAACAAGTAAAAACAGATCAATATTTGCCCTAATCTACTTCGATGTGAACAGAAAAGAAGAGAAAGGGTGAGAAAGAGAGGACCTGGTCGATTCGTCCTTCGTCCTTCGTCTTCGATTATCGTCGGTCATCGCTCCTCGTCAGACGTCTCTCGTCGGTCGTGTCTCATCGTCCCTCATTGAGGTACACGCTGCTCTTCTTCGATCTTCATTCTTCTTCTTGTTCGATCTTCATTCTTCTTCGTCTTTCCCTCAGTCGCTCTCTCTCTCTCTCAGCCTATTTTCTGATCTTCTTTGCTCAGTCGCTCTCTCTCTCTCTCTCTCTCTCTCTCTCTCTCAGCCTCTGATTTTATTTTACTTCTCCTTTTATATTCTGATTTATTTATTTATTTTTATTTTTCCATTTATATTCTGATTTTATTTTATTTGATTTTTTCTTTTCTTTTCTTTTATTTTTTCTTTTATATTCTGATTTTATTTTTTCTTTTCTATTATTTGAGTATATAATTTTAATAATGTATATTTGTTAATTTCATTATAGGAACAAATTTTTTTAATTATTTTTTTAGCACATAATAAGTAAAATTAATTATATAAATTGAACGTATCCCCAGCGTGTCGTGTCCCTTATTTTTTGAAAATTTGCATTTTTGCCTGTCGCGTGTTGTGTCGGTTTCGTGTCACGTGTCTGTGTCCGTGCTTCATGGATTGCACAATTCGCGAATCCTGCCATGGGAAGGAAGATTTGAATGGGGAGTTGAATTTGATGCTTTTTTTTTGTAATTCGAAATGAAATGACCTGTCCATTGCATTTCCTTGCGCAATGAAAAAGGTATTACTATTGGATTTGATCACCCTATACAAAAGAATGGTGGCTGAGATTGGGTCCATTCATAACAGAAGCTTTGTCTCCTCAACCTCATCCACTGTGCAATTAATCGATCTATCGGGAAAGTAGCAGAAATTGCGTGGCACATTTATTGCAGCATTATTGAGCCACCTGCGCAAATGTAGAAGATGTTAAAAACTACACAAATTTTACACCAATACCATTTCTAACTTTATTTCAGATATAATGCTATCATAATTTAGTACCTATGAAGCACGGACACCTCTCTGAGGGCTCCGTACCAGTGTTAGACACGTGTCGGACACGCACACGCGTCGAACACGCGGTGGACACGTGTCTGACACGCAATAGAGTGTGTCCCATTTTTTATTTTCATTTGTTTTACATCCGGACATGTTCAGGACATGTTATAGACACTTTCGGGACATGTTCGGGGGTAATTTCAGAATTTAGAATAAACTTTTGGCGTCAATTTGTAAATAAGTAAAAACGGATCAATATCTGCCCAAATCTACTTTGATTAGAACAGAAACAGAAGAGAAAGGGTGAGAAAGAGGGGACCTAGTCGATTCGTCGTTCGTCGTTCGTCTTCGCTTCTCGTCGGTCGTCGCTCCTCGCCGGACGTCTCTCGGCGGTTGTCACTCATCACTCGTGTCTCGTCGTCCCTTATTAAGGCACACGCTGCACATCTTCGATCTTCATTCGTTATCTTATTTGATCCTCATTCTTCTTCGTCTTTCCCTCAGTCGCTCTCTCTCTCTCTCTCTCAGCCTCTTGTCTGATCTTCTTTCCTCAGCCGCTCTCTCTCTCTCTCGCCCTCTCTCTCTCTCTCTCTCAGGCTCTATTTTTATTTTATTTTTTATATTATTTTATTTCTCCATTTATATTTTGATTTATTTATTTATTTTTATTTTTTCTTCTATATTCTGATTTTATTTTTTATTTTTTATTATTTGATTATATAATTTTAATAATGTATATTTGTTAATTTTATTATAAGAACAAATTTTTTGAAATAATTTTATAACATATAATAAATAAAATTAATTATATATATTGAACGTATCCCCAGCGTATCGTGTCCCCTATGTTTTGAAAATTTGCATTTTTGCCTGTCGCGTGTCGTGTCTGTTTCGTGTCATGTGTCCGTGTCCGTGCTTCATGGACTGCACAATTCGCGAATCCTGCCATGGGAAGGAAGATTTGAATGGGGAGTTGAATTTGATGCTTTTTTTTTGTAATTCGAAATGAAATGACCTGTCCATTGCATTTCCTTGCGCAATGAAAAAGGTATTACTATTGGATTTGATCACCCCATACAAAAGAATGGTGGCTGAGATTGGGTCCATTCATAACAGAAGCTTTGTCTCCTCAACCTCATCCACTGTGCAAATTAATCCATCCATCGGGAAAGTAGCAGAAAATTGCGTGGCACATTTATATACATACATTAATTGACCCACCCTCCCAAGTGCTAAAAAGATGTTAAAACTTGCAAAAATTTACACCAATACCATTTCCCAACTTTATTCACAATTAATGCTATCATAATTTCAGTACCCTAATGAAGCACGGACAACCTCTGCAAGGGCATGTACCAGTGCAGACACGTGTCGACACGCGGTGGACACGTGTTCGACCACGCACACAGAGTGTGTCCCATTTCTTTATTTTTATTTTTTTTACTCCGGACATGTTCACGGACACCATCATAGACACATTTCGGAGCACGTTGGGCGGTAATTTCAGATTTACAAAAACGTTTTGGGTCGATTTT